GCAAACACTTAGTCAAACATTGGTGCCTTTAGTGCCTTGTGCACAATGAGTGCAATGTACAATAGAATTTACAATTTCTTTCACATTTACTTTGCAACAGAGTTTTCATTTAGCTTGGTGAATGAGCTTCAGCTCTGCTGACTTTCATCATCCATTTATGTGTAAATAAAAATACTGTTTTCTTTTTATTTCCCTTGATTTACTAAAGTCACTTTACAAAAGTGACTTTAGTAATTCAAGCTTAGTATGCTCAGACCTGGCCAAAGGAGATGTCTATCCTTAGTACCACCATATAGGAGAAATCACAATTCTCTCAGCTTTGTAAACAAAATAGCTTGTAAATGTTCACCTACCACACAAAAGAAATAACAAAAAACAGAAAAACATCACTTGGTTTGATTACTTTCCAATTTCATGGACAAAACATAAAGTAGAATTCCAGGATAAATCTAACTGATTCTAAAAAAAATTCTCCCTCCCCTCCCCTAACACCTATGCTGGCTAACCTGTGTAAGAAAGATCTGTGTACTTACCTATTTTCGGGCTGCTCCAGTCTGGTCACATAATTCAGCACCCCAGTGCCGGCTAGAGGTGGCTGCAGGGGGGAGGAGGGCACACTGACTACAGATGGGTCCATAGAAAGCCTATGGTTGACATCAACACTTTCTAGCTGTTATCGAGTGTTCTCTTCTCTCCCCTGTAGCTGGTAATCACATGACCAGACCGTAGCAGGCTGAATATAAGTATATAAATCTTTCTTACACAGGTTAGTCAGCATAGATTTTAGGAGGGGTGAGGGGACATTTTTGAGATTAGTTAGGTCTATCCTGGAATTCTACTTTAAAGTAAACTTGTCAGGAAGATAGAAACTATTATCACTGGTTGTTTTTGCAGATATAAGCTCTGGGATTGTCTTGCTCATCCTTGCCTTATGACCCATAAGGACGTTGAACAAGAACAATTATGCTTGCTGTGGGTTCTACCTTTAGTGGCTGCATTCTTCATCCCAGTCAGTGCATCATAAAGTTCTGACCCAACAATGACAATGATAGCCAAGAAACTTGTATAAGTGAACAGTGACAGCTACAGTATGCACCATCCAGAAATTAAAAACAGCATACATCATTTTATTTCTTATATCAGATCTAATAAATCACTTTCTGTTACAATTAAGTTAGATTGAAAAATGTAATCTGTCACACTTACAATATGAGTATAAATAAAAAGTATTATTTTCCTCTTTTAAAAAAAAATCTAATTTTTTCTCCATTAGCAGTTAATTTAATTATACAGCTGTCAAACCACGAGAATAAATTTTCTGTTGTATTTTTTCCATTCCCTAACCATTTACCCTCTAGAGGATTTACCCCCCTTCCTGACCAGGCCGTTTTTGTGATATGGCGCTGCGTTACTTTAATTGACAGTTGCGCGGTCATACAACGCTGTACATAAATGAAATTTATGTCCTTTTTTGCCACATATAGAGCTTTTTTGGTGGTATTTGATCACCTGTGATTTTGTAATTGCTTGCGCTATAAACAAAAAAAAGGCCGACAATTTTGAAAAAAAAAAACACAATATTTCTGACTTTTTGCTATAAAACAGATCCAGTAAAACATTCTAATTTATTCATAAATTTAGGCCAAAATGTATTCTGCTACATGTCTTTGCAAAAAAAAAATCCCAATACAAGTAAATGAATTTGTTTCTGTGAAAGTTATAGCGTCTACAAATGGCAGTATATATACTGGAATTTTTATTTTTATTTTTTTAATACTAGTAATGGCAGCAATCAGCAACTTATAGTGGGACTGCGGGACTGCTGTGGGCATTCTGACACTGGGTGGGAACTAACTGCCACTGATATCCCAATCACACTAATACAGTGATCAGTGCTAATAAAAAGCACTGACCAGGGGCGGACTGACCATTCGAGAACTCGGGCACTGCCCGAGGGCCCTGGGTCAGTAGGGAACCCCATGAAATGCCCCTGGTACCTTTTATAAGTTTTTTTTGAGTGTGGGCAAGGACACAGGGGCCCATGATCCCCTATTGCCCGGGGGCCCCATGAGTTATCAGTCCGCCCCTGGCACTGACACTTTACTAGTGACACTGGGCAGGAAGGGGTTAACATCTGCGATGATCAAAGGGTTAATAGTGTGCTGTGTGCTGTTTTTCATGATGTGCTGCGTGTGTTTGTCTAGGGAGACATGCTGCTGTGTATTTCTCTGCTGTACAGAGAAATACACAGCAGCATGTCCTTGCTGGCAGGATAGAGACCTGTGTTGTTTACATAGACTTTACTGTCTCTCCCCTGTCAGTTCTACATGGCTATCACCAGGTGTTGGTGGGGAATCTCCCTCCGGGACCCGTGTGTTTGATATCCTTAGCTGCCAATGGCGATGTGGGCAGGGCGTCATGCGCACTCCCTACCCGAAAAAGCAAATCACTATATATATACGTGATTTTGCACAGTCCTGTAGCATTATTTCTACTATAGGGTGGCGGGAAAGTGGTTAAAAGCACTTTAAGAACAATGTATATAAAGTGCCCTGTGAAATTAGAATTTAGAATTAGCAGCTCAGCTTTTTAAAATCTTTGGGAGTTGAAAACGCCCACATTTGTAAGTGCCAATGGCAGTTAGAAAAAGCACAATTCTGTATGTAGTACAGTCTGATTACTGATGTAAAAAAAACACACACATATATATATATATATATATATATATATATATGTATATGGTATAATGCCATGAAACTCCATCTAAGGCGCAGGCAAGACATACAAACTCAATGCCAGTAGTGAATACAAAATAATTGTGTTTTTCTTTAATTTCTTTAAAAATAATTTGTAAGTTGGTATCTTGATTCCTGTGTCCTTTGTGTGAACTGACCAGCCATTTTCTGTGCCTCTGGCTAGTTGTATATTGATTGAGCAGCTTGCCTTTACTCTTTTTTGTGATTTACTCCAAAATCGATATTTAGACATTGTAACTGGAATCTCTGTGAAAATGTTGTTTACTCAAGGATTAACATTTGGACAAGGAGCAACTCACACTTCTCAAGGCCAGGATTTTATTTTTTTAAGTAGTTTTTTTAAGTAGTTCAAACTGTAAGCCCACCCATAAATAAGAAAGTGCCCCACTTAATCCAGTCTCCAGGGCTCATTGCAGCCTCTCTCAGACTGCACGTTGAGCATTGTGGTCTTGTTGCTCAGGCTCCGATTTTCATTCATTTGCAGGGCACATGACAACATTGCTCTTCATGTAGACTGGACAAGACTTAGGGGTCATCGGATATTACAAGAAGCCTGCAGGCTATAGGATTGTCTGAGTTATCACTAGAGAATAGCCTTATGCTTCGAACATATTTTGCATTGAAATAAGCTCTGGAAGGTGCCTACCATAAACAGAGGAGCCTTTCTTCAGTTCTCATGCTCCCTCTCTCTCTCTTTGATGTACCATCACCAAAGTGGTATGCTTCTAGGCTGTTTCATACTATATAAATATAATTCAGCTTAGCAGTCTTTTAGCTATGGGATTGCTCTTGTAGATTTAGTATACGCTTTGAGGCATGATTGGTCACTGAAGCCTGGTGTAAGGAATATTCAGTACGTACATTAAAAGAAAAAATGACGCTGTTTTTCACTTCTAGAAGACTGGCGATATATTTCCCTCCTCATTGATGGCTGTCATGAATCTCTTTACTTATGTACTGTTTATCTACAGAATAGCCTTTTCTCTGCATCACTTCAAATACTGCACCAGCACATTCAACATTTTGTCATTCACTCTTTGCTGTGCGCTGTGTTGAACTCTAGATTTGTTACTTTTCTCCTTTGCGGTGCTGCCCTGAGCCTTTCTTCATGTTCTTTTCCACTGATGCATGTAAATAACTGACACCAATAAATGACGGGCTAGCAGCCAGAAGCTTGACACAAGAATATGGCTTAATATCCAATGACAGAAAAGACAGAAAATTGGTAAAGCTCTGTCAGGTTGAAGGCTCCCTTAGGCTGTGTTTTGCAAAGTGCCCTGGTTGGTTCCCACTATAGTTGCATGCAGAGGAAAAAAAACCCAAATAGTGTTAACCTATTAAATCACAGCATACTGAAAAAAGACAGAGGAAAGAAATCTCCCTCTGAAAATCCTTATAGTTGGATAAATCTCACTGTTCACAAATTGATTGAAAGTATTCTCCTAAGACAACCATTGTGCAATTCTTCAGATATGACATGTTCTTCATCCTGAATCTTAGCAACTGGAAATCATTATAATACCTGTATCTAGAGCTCCGCTTCAATAAAGGCTATCATTACTCTCCAGAATGTAAGCTGTCACCAGCCAGAATGTTATGATCTTCAGTTTAGGCGCTGGTCCTCACTGAACACTGCTAAAAGAGAAAAAAAAACTGATACCAAATAATTACTGCTAAGGCGAATGTAAGAATGACTTCAATTACAAAGAAAGATTTATCTCCACTGAACACACAAGACCCTTATTTGCAACTTAACCCAATTAGATATGGAAGGGCAGCTCTAGGGTATGGTGCTCCCCCCACTAATTATCAATGTGTAATATATTTCTAATGAAGCAGATAAAAGGACAGCAATCAATAGTATTGCTTGTAGAGCTCATTTTAAAAATAGGTTGCTTTGAAACAGCCTGAAGATATCGAATGACCTGTTAACAGACAGTTACATTAACAAATCAAACGGGAGATGTGTTACATGTATTTTCTTAATCCTTCTGTTCCTCTGAGGAAAATTACCAGCTTAGTTTATTATCTATGATTTTAAGGTCATATGGCTTCATTTTCCAAAGGTATCTAATATAGAGGGGTTACAATTACAAATGAGATACACTATGCAGTCTCTTGTTGGTTTTCAAGGCTATGCTGAGGAAAGTAACATACACATTTAAATAAAATTGTCCATCGTCTTCTTTAGATTACTGAAAAAAGAATCAAATAAAAATATACTTGTTCTTATAAAAATAGTTCTGATTTTGCATCCTGCTATACATTGTAGTAAATAACTAACAGTCAGTCAGCTGGCATTAAGACAGTTTGTTTAAGCTACACTATATTGCCAAAAGTATTGGGACGCTTGCCTTTACACGCACAGGAACTTTAATGGTATCCCAGTCTTAGTCTGTGGGGTTCAATGTTGAGTTGGCCCACCCTTTGCAGCTATAACAGCTTCAAATCTTCTGGGAAGGCTGTCAACATAGGGTTGTGTCTATGGGAATGTTTGACCATTCTTCCAGAAGCGCATTTGTGAGGTCAGGCTCTGGTGTCGGACGAGAAGGCTTGACTCGCAGTCTTCACTCTAATTCATTCCAAAGGTGTTCTATTGGGTTGAGGTCAGGACTCTGGTCTGGCCAGTCAAGTTCTTCCACCCAAAACTCGCTCATCCGTGTCTTTATGGACCTTGCTTTGTGCACTGGTGTGCAGTCACGTTGGGACAAGAAGGGACCATCCCCAAACTGCTCCCTCAAAGTTGGGATCATGAAATTGTCCAAAATGTCTTGGTATGCTGACGCCTTAAGAGTTCCCTTTACTGGAACTAAGGGGCCAAGCCCAACCCCTGAAAAACAGCCCCACATCAGTCAGGCAAGTACTGTTCTCCTGGCAACCGCCAAACCCAGACATGTCCATTGGATTGCCAGTCAGAGAAGTGTGATTCGTCACTCCAGAGAACACGTCTCAACTGCTCCAGAATCCAGTGGTGGCGTGCTTTACACCACTGCATCCAATGCTTTGCATTGCACTTGGTGATGTAAGGCTTGGATACAGCTGCTCAGCCATGGAAACCCATTCCATGAAGTTCTCTACACACTGTTGTTGTGCTAATTTGAAGGCCACACAAAGTTTGAAGGTCTTTAGCTATTGACTCTGCACACAGTTGGCGACTTCTGAGCACTGTGCGCTTCAGTATGCGCTGACCCCGTTCTGTCATTTTATTTGACCTACCACTTTGTGGCTGAGTTGCTGTTGTTCCCAGTTATAAATTATAAGGTAGTAATGCGCTGTCTTTATTCCCTCCAGAAATGTCAACATGACCAGTGACATGTTGCGTCACTGGTCACGTGACTCCCTGAGGAAGTCACGTGACCACTGGCGCAATGTGTTGGGTGGAGCCCTGTGACATCACTTGTGACGTCCTTTGCTGAAACCGGAAGTGTGGTGATTGGAGCCATATTTGTGATTGGAATGTGCTTTTTACCTTTTTACCTGTGTTTTACTTGTGAGTGAGTTTTTGGATGCATAAATCTGTCTTCCTAACATATGGGGTTGCACTGTGAAGTACTGTAATTGTTCTCCCCTTGAGTAATATCCATCCAGGTGGACACAGCAAGATAGCGGTCTCTTAAAGAGACAGGATGGTTGAAGTAGCTGCTAACAGGCAGAAGTGGACATACAGAGTTGGGATAACAGCATGCGTTTTTGACCTATGGTTATGCAGGCCAAAAGAGAAGGTGAGCCTGCATTGCACATAAGGGTGACAGGCTAATGAGCACATTTGAAGGTGATGATTTGGAGTAAACATTATTTATAACACAGGAACAAATTGGTTTGTGGTCACGTTTTTACCAAAATGAAAGTGACTGTAAAGATTGATGCTGTTTGGGGCTTATTGTTTTATACAGTGTTGCACTGTGAATTATATGCTTTATTTTTGGGTGGATCTTCACATCTTGGAGCCTTAAGGGAGAATCCTGACGGATTAGTCTCTTGAAAAAATATTATTGAATAAATAGTGCACTTGACCTATAGTTTTTAGGTCTGGTCATAAGGTGAGCAAGTTTTTCACTCAAAGGAAGCAGATTATGTTGAGTACGTCCTTTCACAGGCACAGCACTGGGATTTGAGAAAGCGATCAATATATAGACTATTTATGGACTCACATACTAGTTGCTGATGGACATTGTTTGTTAAATTGACATTTCTGGATGGAATATAGACAGCACATCACTACTTTATAATTTGTATATGTTAGATGTGTGAGAGTGCTCTTTAATAGTGGTTGCAGCAGTTCTGGGGTTTATACATATTTCTTTCACATTTTATTTGATCTTACATCTCATGGTATTCTATTTTTAGTTTTGATTAGGGCTATAGCAAGACATCTATTGTTGTTCCCAGTTGCTTCCACTTTGTGATAATACTACTAACAGTTGACTGTGGAATATTTAGTAGCAAGGAAATTTCATGGATGGACTTATTGCACAGGTGGCAACCTATCATAGTACCACGCTTGAATTCACTGAGCTCCTGAGAGTGACCCATTCTTTCACAAATGTTTGTAGAAGCAGTCTGCATGCCTAGGTGCTTGATTTTCTGCACTTGTGATCATGGAGGTGATTGGAACACCTGAATCCAATGATTTGGAGGGGTGTCCCAATATTTTTGGCAATATAGTCTATATAATAAGAAACTCTGAGCTAAGGCTTGCCATACACTATACAATTTTCTGTCCAATTTCTGCTCAATTTCCTTTAGATTTACCTTCAACTATGTAGTGCAAGGGCCTGCCTAATTGGATACAATTGAAAGTGTTGTTTAGGTTTGACCTCATATTTTAGGTTTTTTGGTAAATCTAAAGCAAAATCCTGTAGAAAATTGTATAATGTATGGCCAGCCCGTGGTATTTAGCTGTACAGCTTCTATATAAAGCTGCTAAGCACCTTCTATGCTCCGTAAGGGAGATAGTCAAGTTAAGGTGAGTAAAACTAGGTGCAGTGCTAAACCACAACAAAAAAATTGCATAAACTTGAACATGAATCCTCTTTTTTCCTCTTTAAACCCAATGCATAAAGTACTAGTGTTATATCCAATATATCAATACTGTGCTGTAAACAATACAATGGGTTCATACATATTTCAATAGTACAGGATAATAATGCAAGAGACACAGTTCTGTAGTAACATCTCTATATTAATCTTGTTCAAAATAGTAGACCACAAGAACAATGGGTTTAGGATCTAATAGAATAAATAGAGTAAAATAGGAATAATCAAGAAGCAACTTTTAACAAATTATACAATCATGAGTAGTAAGCTTCAAGTATTAAACTGAAACACCAACAGCAAAAGAGGGAAGAAAAGGCTTGTTGACTTATCAGCTCCCTCTAAGTCACTGGCACAGCAATGGTGGATGCAGAGAAATATATAAATGTACACTCCAGCATAAATCAATATAAGTACAATAATTTAAATAACAATGGCCTTAGAAGAGAGAAGGTCCCTTTCAATAAAGATTGCAGCTTGAGTCCTGTGATGTTTAAAATTCCTAATATGGTGATGTCTGTTGTCTTCTGCTAGCAATGGTGGGGCCTATAAACAGTAGTGATTATTACTAATTCAATGAAGTTAAACAGATAGGCTGTGGCACTGCTCAAAGCAAATATATGCTGATACTGAGGTATAAAGTTGTCTGCATGCAATGTCTCTAGAGTAATCACCAATCTGTGTGAGTTCTTGCACAGGCTCTTGGCTGTTTGCAGGGATGTGCAGAGTTGCTGCCTGACAGCCTGTCTGTGCAGTGAGCAGAGATGTCTGTGTGAAGACCGGATATTGACATTCCCGATGCATAGAAGTTGATGCGATCCTGGTGTGGAGATTAGTGTCAACGATTTGCTGATGTGCTTCCCACAGCAGTATGCCAGCAATCTGTCTCAGGAAGACAACGGCAGTCACCCCAGAGAGAGAGAGAGCCAGCCCCTTGCTGTAGAATTTATCTGCCTTTCCAGCATGCCCTCCCAGATAGCCATCTCTCTGTTAGTTTTAGTTTATATTGGGTATGCAACAGCATGTACTATATACAGTATTGTATGCTAATATCACTTGACCAGTAGATGGCACTGTACACTAAGGTTACCAATTGTGCATATGTGTAAAACTTGTTGGTTCTCTCTCTTCTCTTTTTTCTTCATAACCAAGATGTCTGCTGTTACAGTCTGCTGAAATGTGTTGTATTGTTTGCAACTTAAGCCACACAAGTAAACCAAGTTCTGCCTCATCACAAGCTACTAGTGTCTTCTCTAACACATAACCAACAGGTTATGGGCCCAGCTCCAGACACTGGAAAAAGGAAAACTACAAGCAAGTAAGTGCTGCATTTACAATCCTACCAAATCCTGTGTGAGGAAACAAGAGCTGTATCCAATTCACTGAAAGATGGCAAGTGCTTCAGATATGAAGTTTACAATAGCAAAGCTCAACAATACCAACTACCAGCTATGGAAGTTTAAGCTTGAAATGCTGTTATCCAAAGATGACTTGTGGCAGGTACTAGATACACACAGACCCAATGACAACCCGGAAGAATGGGACAGAAAAAACAGGCAAGCAAAAGCAGTCATAAGCCTGTTAGTGGAGGACGATCAACTCATTTATATAAGGAAAGAAAACACAGCTAAAGGTATGTGGACTGCATTACAAAAACTGCATGAATGTGCAAACCTAAACAGTAAACTATATCTGCTGGGCAAACTGTATAAGATGAGGCTGTAAAAAGGGCAGGAAATGGGTGAACTTGTAAATGCTATGCTAGAAATTGTGGACCAGCTGGGTGCAATAGATGAAGAAATGAAAGACAATCATGTTGTGGCACTACTGCTATGCAGCTTTCCAGAATCATACAGTGCCCTTATAAATGCTCTAGAAACTAGACCGGAAACTGAACTGAAGCTAGAATATGTTAAGGGAAAATTAATTGATGAATACAGCAGAAGAAAGGAAAATTTGCATAGTGAAGAGCACGAGAGACCAGAGGCAGCCCTGAAGGTGCATGAAGGCATAAGACAAAGCAAAGAAACCAGGGTATGTTTTCGCTGCAAAAAGGTCCATCACCTGAAAAAGAACTGTTCAATCTGGAAAAACTGAGCAGCGAAAGCGGGAGCTACCCACAAGAGAAAGAGCTAAAGTGGTCATGAAAGAAAATGAAAGTGCATCATGGAGTGGTACTCTTAAAGTGACTCAGAATAGTACCTCACACGGATGGTACATTGATTCAGGGGCAACAAGTCACAAGACAAGTGACGAGACATTCTTCACAGAAATTGATTTTAGTGTAAAAGATAAAGTCTTCCTAGCAAATGGGAAAAGTATTACAGCGGAAGGTAATGGTCAGGGATTTCTGAACTGCAAAACGCCA